TTAAAATCACAGTCAAGAGCCCAACAGAGTAAGATGCATCTGAAGAATAGAAACAAAATGTCAGAGCCAGGAGGACCACAAAGAACTTCTTTACAGCTTTCAGTTTTACAGAAAAGTACTCCGATGGTCTGGCGACTTCTGGTGAGAAGATACACCCTCAGACAATGAAATAATATCCGCAGACAGTACAAGAGGCCAGTTAAGGCTTGCAGCACAGCACAAGAAGAAGCAACAGCATCTAGAAGGCAACTCTAGGTGGTCTAGCAGCATGTAAGCATCACCTTCTCACCTTTTTCTGACATGTGATTTGACAGTCCTTAATCAAAGCTGAAGCAAGGCCCAACAGCTCTCATTCCTTCAAAAAGAGAGTGCTTCAAGCTTGTACATAAGGAAGGGGAAGAGCCTGTAACATACACTGACTACATAAATATTAAGAAACACAATGTGAATGAGACATATCACAAGTCCTTTGCCTTGGCTACACTAACAGGGACAATGCTAAAACCTGTATTACCTTGCCTGACATCATTAAAACCATAGTTTAAGAGCGTTCCCCTAAAATCACAGTATCAGCAAGGCCACCTCACCAAAAACACCACCTCTGACACAAATCTTTTCCCCTCCCCTCACATACAGGATCATCTAATACCATGCCCTCCCATTCTCCCCTCAGAGGACAGATCTATGCAGGGAGATGTCCTGTCCTCTAGGCCAGAAGGTTCAGGTTTCTTAAAGCACTGGTTTTAAGTTTAAAGTGCTTTAGTTTTACAGCTGAAACGGTGATATAAAATATAATTTTGCCATTCAAGATTGCTCCATCTGCAACATGGGCCCTACACATGAAGATCCCTATCTGCAACTGGCATAATTCAAAATAATGCTTCTTTAGCCAGCAATAATACGAGCAGAACTCACAGCTTCAAACTCACTGGTATTAGCACCACAACCACTGAAGACAGCTGGAAAATTATATTTAGCTACAACCAGCAAGTTAACCTGGTGCTGTCGTGAAAAATGTCTGTTTCCTTGACTCATCCATCATCAAGGCATAATAAACTTGTAATCAAAATTATATCACTTCAACTGTTGCTGCCAATCTTTCCTTAATGGACTTAATTTAATAATTTTTTTAAAATAAAAAGTTTCCATGTGTGTCTACAGTAGACAACAACAGTAACAATGGCCTCATAGGGACTGTGGAAAAAAACCAACCTACTTCACACTGGCAAAGTGCTCTGCCTACCAGATGTTACTGTGGCTCCACAGGGCTGGAGAGACTTACAGCGCAGAATTGAGCTTAACTGACCTTTTGAGTGAAAAGAGTTAATCTTTTCTTTTCCCAATTCTGTTTTCTTTGCCACTGGCTGGAATCCAACCAGGAGGGTTGTTTGCTGTTGTTTCAGGGGGGTCTGGGGGTTTGGGAGAGTTAGGTCCCCACAGGTAACATCGCAAAGTCTCACTGTAACTTTCATGAGATGGCAAATTGCTATTCCCCTTCAGATACTTTCCTCATTCAAAAGTTTTGCTCTTTGTTTCCCCTTTCTTCCACTCACTCATGAAGATGAGACCAATTCAATGATTACTGGAGTTCTGGGCTTTTCTGCTGAGCTTCAAAAATACAATTACTTCTTTCGCTAGATGAAAATAGCACCACTACAAAGTAGAAAGGTAAATTAAGTTCCACAGTCAAGGCAGAGACTCACATCCAGATTCAGCAGACTGAGAGATTTTGAAACTTAGGATGGCAAAACCTCTGCCAAAGTCACTGGGAATTTTGCTTGGGTCTCAACATCAAAGGAGTATTATTATGGTATTTTCAGCACCTACAGACCAGTTTCTACCAGCTTTAGTCCCAGTCTTTTAATCACAAAGCAAACCCAAGATTAACAGAGAGTGAAGTGAATCAAAACCAGAGAAGATTCACTTCAGTTGGAGCAAAAGTACTGTTTCTATTTAAACTAAAGCAGTACTTAGACAAACAAATGGCTTTTAAGTTGCTATGGGCACATTTTGGCTTGAAATAAGAAAAATTATTAAAACAACAATTTAAATACAATTCTGGATCAACATTCTTGAGGCCAACAAACCTAGAGTAGTTAAGGCTGTTGACAGGATTTTTTAACAGGACTATGCAACATCATTGTCTAGTGGAGGGCTGATGTCCATGTCCAAGAATCCAACTTAACTTGTTACACTGATGCCCTCTCTGTGATACTCAGGAAGCACCAGAGGCATGGACACACAGTTTATGAAGAAAAGGGGAGAGGGAAAACAGTAAAAATCCCTTTTTTCCTCAATGGATGTGCATAATAACTTGGTTTCCATCTAAAAAAAAAATAATAAAATAAAAAGCTAAGGGCTTTGGCAGCTAGTATTGATTCTCTACCAGGCTTCTTCTGGGAACTGAGTATTTTGCATTCACACTCTGGGATACAAACAGGGAATTCATCTTGGGACTCAGCCAGTGTAATGTTATACCAATGTGTTGATTCAGAAGCAAAAATCTTCAAAGAGACTCAAGCTGCTGAAATTCTGGAGAGAAAAAAGGAAGGACCAATATGCAAGTAACTACATGTGTCAATGGGCTGTGACTGAAACTAAAGGACTTGACTTTGCATTCCTCCTAAATTCAGTGGGGAAACTGGGGCAGGAGAGGTGAATCACCAGAAGTTTTGCTCAAGGAATGTAAAACAGAACACAAGGTCCATGGCCCCATTGGTATTTTACAACTATATAATGCTGGTGATTTCATTAGAGCCAGCCCAGATTTATTAAAAACCAGAATCAAACCTTAGGTCTAAGGAAGCCCTTAAAATAAGTCTTTGCTAATGCCTTATTATTTTAATGGTGTAAATCCACAGGAAACAGTCAGGCTATCCAAGATTTACAGTAGTGCTAGTGAAAGCGAGATTCAAAACTTAACATACAAGTTTCTTGGATCTGTGATATGCTCATTTGCTAGTTTAAGCACAGGCATGAAAATCATCAGTGACCAGATGCTAAGAAGAGAAAAGAAACCTGTGAAAATTAGACCTTGCCTCAAAAAAACTTCACAGATAAAGTTACTTAAAAAAAAAAATAGGTATTTGTGACTATCATCCTGTGCTGGTGAACACAAGCATCATTTCATTAACAGAGGAACAATCATTCCTGCTGGCCACCAGCCACTGCTTGACCATTTTTTTGAATGGGGCACAGCACAGATGTGCTCACCTCAAACAACATGCCTAGCATGACTTATTGTGCCAGCTAGGCTTGACGGGTAGTAAGCAAGGAAGACAAGTCAACACCTGCTTAGCCCTTCTGGTAAATCCACATCACTTCATTCCTAAAGAAGTGCAAAGCCTTTCGAGTCCTCGGGACATGGCTCGCTGCACCACCTGGGGTCCTGTCCTCCAGTCTGCAGTTGAGAAAGTGCTGCCCTTTTCCACTCTGTATTTGTAATCAGGATCCTAAAATGAAGAATAAAGGACCTGATCTGCTTCTTGCTTACACCATTGTAAATTAGAAACAAACCCATCAGCATTAGCAGCCTTACATGAGTATAAAACAGGTGTGAGAGTAGAAACAGGCCTATAAACTCAGATGAATTTAGAAGGCAATGTATTACTTTCCAATCGTGCAGAGATTACATTACATTATATATATACACACATACACACACAGCATTTTTAAAACCTCTCCAAGAAATCCAACAGAAACTAAGCAGAGCATATGGAAATTTAACTGGTTGCTCATAAAAAGCTGTTAATATGTGCCAAAGTCAAAAGACACAGTGCAGTCTACTACACAGGCTTGTTAAAAAAGAAGCAAAGCAGCATTTTTAACTACAACTACCTGATAGGTGGAACAGCAGCTTCACTTATCTTAGAAATACAAATTTTTTGTATTTTTAAAGATTCTGAGCGCTGAGGAACTTTTTCCTTTCGGTTTCGTTGTTGCTGTTTGGGGTTTTTGTCCCTGAACCTCTGGAGCAGATTTCCAGGGCTTAAAAAACCCCAGCATTTCTTGCCGCTGCCTCCGGCCTATTTGATGTTCCTTTGCTGCCACCAAGTGGAAAAGAAGCAATAAAGCTAAAATTTGCGAAAAGGGCCTGTAGCTGGCACCATATAGCAAAGGTCTCGTCTAAATTCGCTTTCCTTTCCTAGTTTTAACTTCGGCCGCTACCTCCTCCGGGGCTGGCTGCAGAGAGAGAAAAGGCACAGCCACCGCCATTATCAATTAACCACAGGGTCCTCTGCAGCAGAACCACCCTGAGCAGCCTGCCACAGCACTCCCATCCGTAGCATATACTGGGGAAACATGAGAAGATTAGTGGAGAAATAACAAAAACGCGATTATTATCACACACCACCTCAAACAGACGTTGTAAGGAAAGTTCTCCTCAAGCACCAAGTGCATTTCCCTCAGTAACATACCCACACTTTACCTCCTTGCTCTGACTACTGTGTGACACAGGTTCACTTCATAGAGTTAAGTGCAAGATAGAGTAAATCCTACCTTTTACTTGTAGAGGGACCGAAGGACAGGTCAAAACAACGCTGGGAGGCAAACGCGTTCTGACAGCCCTGCTCACCTGAGGTGAAGCGCCATTTTAGCCCTGGGGCTGGGCAGTGATTAACCGCTAAATGGCGCTTAGGGGCAAGGCTGGAGGGTGAGCTATGGCTTTTGGCTCAATGGGTCAGTGCAGATGAGGAGAAAAAAGAACCACACACCTTTGCAAATTCAGGGTAAGCTGTGTATGCCTTTAGTATGTACAAGGGATGTGTGTGTCTCTCTCTGAAGGGTTTTACTGGGTGAGGAAGGGGCAGAGCTCAGGTGTTGGCCATAGCATTTGGGTGGGGTTTGTGAGGTACAAGGAAATGGCTTCGCTTCAGCTCCTGATCCTGGAGGCGCAGTAGTGATTGAAGCAAGTAACAGCCTCACTCCGGGGAGCAATTTTGTTACACTCATATAAAAATAAAACAAAGAAAAAGGTGGGGGGCAGGCAGGCAAATAAGTCTTTTGGTGAACCATTTAACCTGGCTGCTGTGTTTGGTTAAACTATGTATGATGCACCTACGTATTTAAACAAGGTAACCCATGCCAAACCACACACCATCAGCGATTAGATTCCATGAAGGATAAAATCTAGCTGTAGTATTACAACTTTGATGAGTCAACTGCTTCTTGCTGATACATATCAAGTGGTTAAAGGAACAAATATCTGTTTTATAGATGGAGGAATGGATGGCTTGGGGGCAGGAGTGTAGAGGACTCTCCAGTGTTGAGAGACACTTCTGTGCAGATGCTGCAAAGAAATCCAACAGTGCATATTGGTTTCAAGGGATATATATGTGCTGTTCACCTTCCCTTTTAATTTAAACTTATTTAACCTGCTATAAGATGTTCTCCCTGCTTTAATAGATCTTGTTTTTCTAGCAATTACTGTCATTTAGGTAATATCACACAGATGTGCTCAAGGAACACAAACTTGTAAGAAACACCGCAGAATTTCTGGCACTATTTCTTTCATTCAGTCTAATTTCAGAGGCAGAAGGAGCCAGCTGGCTGAATTGTCTTGAAGGCGGACACAGGAAAAGCAGCCGATAGACTGAAATACAGATGAAATCACCTTTAAGCACAAAGGTAATTAAACACAAGAATTCACATGCCTTCTCTGTTGTGCTGTAATCAAACTGAAAAATGCTTTTCCCTCAAATTTGTGCAAGTAAGCTAACCTACTAAAATAAGGAACTGTCAGATTCACTAAAGAGAGAAAAATGGCAAACTTCTAAGCTCATGGTTGGCTGGCTCACTTTCCAGATGCTTTTCAAAACCTAAGCTTTAAGATGTGTCTTCAGTTACCTCAAAAAATATTCCGATATCTTAACAACATGGGGGCCACTGATGGGTTAATACACACACACACTGCCAGCAAAGTCCCTCCAGTTAACACCAGCTGGAAATGAGCTTTTAGGGTTTTTTGGTAGTTTTGTTTGTTGGGGTTTCCCCCCCCCTCCCTTCCCCTGCTGTTGGTGAGGCTTTGGCTCAGATGCTTGAATAGAGAAAATCTTTGCCAGATGAGGTAATGGCCACTGAGGTTCCTGAGGCTAGCAGGCTGCCCAATACAGGCTTTGCCTTAAATGACTTAGAACCTCAAATTCTTTTTGGACACAGATTTACCACTGTGCGTTTACTGAAGGCTTGGCTCAATTATATCTTGGCTTTTTGCTATGGGAATGTAAGTTCCATGTCATCAGTAAACTCTGCAAGGCAGAAGTCACTGTATCAGAATATCAGCATCTGTCCTCTTTGTCTTATGAAAACCTGTGCAAGCAAATCCAAGGGCAAAATCTGGCTGTTAATTTTTTTGATAATACAACCTCACCTAGATGGCAGAAGACAAAAAGTTTTTCCATGCTTATTTTGTTCTCTAAGCTACAGGTATATCCAGAAATGCTAACCTACGCCCAGAGATGTCTCATCTACCAAAATTCTTCTGTGTAATTCCATAAATAAGGGATGAGATCAAATTCGTAAGACTTTAATGATCTGAGTACCTTCCAGAAAATAGGATACTTCATTCTACATACCCCAAGAATGCCTGCTAAAAAGAATACATTAAATGGACCAGACTTGATTTTACCAGCTTAAACCTGGAGCAGCTCCACAGCTTAACAAATGAACACATGGGGGCTAGGGAGGAGGAAAAAACAAACAAATCCAGTATAACAACTGTAACCCTTCTTTTCATTATGGTTTTAGTTGAGAAAAAAATTAAGTTTCAGATTTCTAATATATTCAGCATACTTAAAGGAAGTATACTCTTACTGGAGTTACCTCTTAAGAAGGTGACACACAAACTAATTCCATTTTAGTTAAACTGGTATGAAGTTGAATTCCAGTATGATCATAATGTAAATTAATCAGATACATATGAGAGCATTCTTTGTCCACATTAAGTTTTTAAAATCTGAAATCTATATAAAACTACATTAAACCAGCACTGTTAAAAGTTGTAGTAGATTTGCAGTTCTGCAAATACAGTATGTTACAGAGCCCTGTCATCATCCAAGATAAATTGGACTTTAACTGCAGAGTCCATATTCCTCCCTAAGCTATTTGTGGCTTCAAAACTGTGCAGGGAGCTCAGTAATGTTGATGACCATGCATGGGAAAACTGGAACACAAGCAAATTAATGGCCAGTATCTACGATGCAGTTCTCTGAGGTTTCTCTAGAGGCCTAATCTGGATAGATTTTCACTGGGATAACTTTTTTTTAATCTCCTGACAAAGCATTTCAAATTTTTACCTCAATGAAGGAGAGTTACAACCTTTAGAAAGATATGGTCAGAAGTTTTGCTAACGTTGCCAATGTGGCCTATACTTTACAAACCATGTTCCTGAACAACTGTTAACAGTTCAACCTTTGGGCAGGGGGGGGAAGGAGGTGGTTGGGCATTCAGCCATGGCAGAGACCAAACGTGAAGAAGTCCAAAACAAGTAGTTAAAAGCTGGCAAAATGATGAACCTCTAGGAAAAAGAACATTACCATAAAAAGCTGAGGCACTATGTGGAATTATCGGTAAGCCCTATGTATAATAAAAGGTAAACAAAGCTTAACAAGCACAAACCACAAAAATAAAATGTAAACAAAGAATCCAGGAAGCAGACTTTTACTAACACAAGCAATTTAACTGGAAGTCAGTAACTTGGAATCAGCTATATTTTTTGTGTTGTTTTTGCTGCATGAAGACATTCATACTTACATAAAGCCAAATTCTCAGTTCTTTTGCATTGGATTTTTGCTACTGCAGCCCTAATGAAATCAAGAGTTAAAACTGATTTAAAGCAATAGAGAAATATGCTCGTGATGCTATATATAGTCTCCAGCTATATTAGTCTCTCACTAATACACACTTTGTATTCTGTTACACACCAAGAGAAGAACTTACTGCCAATCAGGAGATAGATAACATACAGGTGGATGTGTGTGTACATACAGACAGCACCTCATGAGATTAACTGCCCTGAGGAAATGCTCTCTCCATGGAAACTTTGCCCAAGAAAACATGTTTTGTCTTGTGTGTGAGTTGGGGAGCAGGCTTGTCCGTCCAGGGCAACAAAGTAAAAAGATTGTTTATGCTATCCAACTTGACAGTGCTTGTTACAAGGTATTTCTTCTTCTCACCTTTGTGGGTTTAAACAATAACTGATTTGTTCCCATGAGGCCAAAAACCATTCAAGTGACAAAGAAAAAATAAACATTCTAGGAAACTAAGGCTACAACATTCATATAAATGAACATTTATATCTAATGAGGTAATATCAACACTACTTTGTTTTCAGACAACTTTTTCACTCGCATAACTCAGCAGCTGCTCATTTACTTTAACTGACTGCTAGTAAATAGCAGCTAAGCCTTTGCCCCTAGCATTACTACTATAAAAGTTTATGTGCAAGCACAGCTGAGTTTGTTGTGTTTTTTTTGCCTGTTCTGGATTATTGCTATATAAGGTACATCACCATGCATCTGAGGTGATCCTTAGCTTGAAAATTATCTAGTTGTTCATGTACTCTTTGGATATAACATCTAGGTACCTTAAATAGCAAGACTGTCATGATGTTAAGCTGGAATAACATAGTGCTGAATTAGACCCATTTTCTGTCACTTAATATAGCCTTTAAATTTGTCCATGGAATGTGTCCACACTAGTCTGAGAAGAAGCCTCTTGGCAATACTGAATTATCATTCTGACTTGCTTCCATCCATTTACTGGGGCTGCCAAATTGAAATGATGCATGTCAAGGCAACCCTACGCTGAAAAGTAAAAGATATCCTCTTAAATGTTCCATTTATAAAGCTTTTTATTCACAGTCGAATTTAGTATCCCCTCTGAAATATATCACTTTACAAAATTGATACCTTGCCATTACAAGATTTCCATGCCATATTCACTCAGCTTAGTAGTAAAAACAAGCTTTTGCTCTTTTCCCTTTGGTACAGCTGATGAAAACCGAGCAGTTCAAGGTCTGCTTCTTAGATCACCAGCACTAAGTATTCCATAGATCTTTAGTCTTCTCCTACAGGGAAGGTTAAAAGTCAGCAAAAAGGCAAACTGTTAGTTCTATCAGTAAAATATTACAAGTAGTACATCATCTTGAAAAGCAGAAATTGAAAGAAGAAAAACCCCAAACTACCACTAATGCCCTAATGTTAGGGATGTTAAGAGTGGTCTGCAAAACAAGAGCATTCAAGTGAACTTTCTGCAAGGAATATCACTTAAAGAAAATTAGCAAAAAGAAAAATTACACTGTCACTGCAGAACTTTACTGCATTTTTTTCTAATATGTCACATATGATTCTAAAATGACAAATTGCATTATTTACTTTCTGTATTATGTCCCCTACATTGCTGTAACCTAACACTTCTTTTTTTAATTACTGGCAAGTAAACTTCTAACTAAGAAACATAAATGTAGTCTTTTTAACTAACGCCCTGTTTTGACATCTTTACATTAGTTTATGACAAATGCATAACCTGCCCACATTTGGGATGCAACCCAGTTAGTTTGGCCCTCTAAGCTGGAAAGTTTCTTTGGCTTGAAGTGCATCACACTTACTCTTGAAGAACATTTCTTCAAAGTCTCATTATTTTCCTATTACGTCCTGATTTGCATGTCACTGTTTAGCTGAAGTTACTTCTTGGTCCAATTTACGATTTGCATCAATAGTTTGTTGTTGTTTCCTTACACTTCAACTCTCTAAAGCAGCTATACATTACTAGCCAGCCATGTCTGAAAGAAGAAAGGAATGACATTCCAATCAAGTTGTTTCAGGTTTTTTTAGGGTTAATGTTTCACATATCCCAGCTTGTAGCAGTGTCAAACAGGAAAGTTGTGTCCTTCTAGCTATAAGGGGTTTGTGCAGTTATTTGCAGTAGAGAAGAAACTGCATGGAGTTAAAAGTTCAGTGGGATCTTGCCAGAAGGAACCCTATGCCATAGAATGTCACACCAATAAGTGTTTCCAGTTATAGACTGGAGTTTGCTGTTCACAACTCTCAAAAGCTTTCCTGTGGCAAACAGCGGATGGATGCCTTAATCCAAGTAACCAAGGTCTCTTCTGGGGCCAAAGAACCAGGTCTTCATCAATTCCTGGGCAAAGTGTTCATTTACTATGGAAGCTAGAATTTCCCTTCATGTTTGTAATGGTCCCAACCCCACAGTTAAAAAGTTACTTTTGGTCTACTTACTTAAATCCAATAAAATTCTTAATTATGTGAGAATTAAGTTTAACTTTTATCATTCCAGATTACTGTTTTGAGAAGATTTCCAATAAATCTGCAACACTAATACTTTTTGACAAAGTTTCATGCTATTATTGATTTTCAAGGCCAGGAAAAAATAAGATGACTTAATCAAACATCCACTTTTGAGGATGAGGTTGTCCATTAATAAAAGTACTTAAGGAGTAGAAATGAGCACCAGTGATGTGCTGACTTCCCAACTCATGGCTACCATTTGTAAGAGTGGAAATTTAAGTTCTAGTAAGATTCCTCTTTTGTTTGCAGCCACAGTAAAATCTGTCAGGTCTTCTACACTACTGGGGCTTAAAATCTTGAGTTGTGTTTTCACTTACTTTCTGAAGTATTCTTTTGGTAAGCTTGGGAAATTCCTCATGCAGCCTTATAACAGATTCCAGTTAATAGCTGCTAGCTTTACGTGCTCCTCCCAACCTCATCGCTTTCTTGGTGCAAAGACCAGAAAGCAAGAAAAGTTCCAGGAACAGGTAACACATTACAATCTTTAACAAAATGGAAACTATTTTAACTTCTGACTTGAAAACCTGAACCCAAAACCTTCAAATTTTGGCATCACTGATTAGCAAGGTGCAAGACAGGCCACATAGACTTCCACCTACATGTACATTTCTACCATAACTTAAGAGTTTTACATCATTTTCTTATTGATTAGTTAAAAACATTCTTAAAAACAGCAGTTTTAGTGCTCCTCTTAGCTGGTATGTCTAATATTAGTTAGCCCACAAAATAAATAGAGTAAAGCAAGACAAAGCAGGGAGGTGTCACACACACTTTATTATTTTCTTTAAGTATCTGAATTCATTAATTCAGTGATACTAACAACTTACTATTAATAGCAACTCTTTGCATTACATTGGTATTAACTAACGCAGAATTGATACTTCTGCACCATATTCAGCACTTACACCAATGGGACTAGAAGTCTCCCAGATGTTTTCCTTTCCTTTCAGGCTCTGTAGAACCATTCTATAAACTGGCTCATATAGATTTAATGCACACAGATACTGCAATAAATATTCTTGTCAGCATCCTATTTTGAGGCAGGAACTTCCATAAACAATGTTCAGTCATTTCACATTGGAGACCTCAGTCTAGATGTTCCAAGAACACTTGATGTAAAAAACACTTAGCATTCATGATCTTGTATTTCAAGCCTCTTTCTAATAGGGCTGTTAGTGAATAACAGGCAGTGACACTTCTTAGTTTGTGGGGCATTTGGCTGGGTTGTTTTCTAGAAAAGCAAAGCCACAGACCCAGGCTGTGAACAGCCATACTGAATGATACGAACCTTAAAAAAAAAAATTAAAAAATTACAAAGTTGCATTTGTTACATCTATTTAAACTGCTCTGTGACAAATGCCAAATACCTGTATATAATTAATTATACCAGATGGATTTCTACCTCAGTAAGTCTTAGCTAATAGACTTGCATTATTCTTGTTTAAACATTTACTTACGAAACCTGTGTACTTTACTGGACACTAAATTATGATCCTTTTTAGAAATTATCCTTTTAAAACAAAAGTTGTAATTGAAGCTTAAGAGAAAAACCATGTAATGGAAATGTCCTTCAATCCCCTTTTAATTAACAGCAGTGTAAATACAAGCTGAGCTACTCATTTCCTCAAGACAATGCTTCTCAAAGCATAAGACACTATCTCCCAGAAAAATTCTATATTAAAGTGCTCTGGCTTGTGCCACTTCAGATCGCTTCTATCCTTTTGTCTTCCCAATTAGTTCATAGGACACCTGGCCTTTTTTTACACTGATGTTTTTGAGATTAACATTTTGAACCTCATGCTTTGCACATGCAGACCTCTACATCTACACAAAGTCCAGAAGTCTGTTTGTAATAGCCTATAGCTGTCATTTTCAGTATCAAAGAGGTGCAAGACAGGACACACAGATGGTGCAAGACAGGACACACAGACTTCCAAATAAATCTCTGTCCAGACCTGTGGAGCACACCAAGAACTGCTTTACACGTGTATTGCTATCTTTGGCCTAGAACACACTTGAAGTCTTTTGCATTTTTAATCATAATTGCACAAAAAAAAAAAAGCCTCCTGAGTCCAACAGCTTTTTCATTTGGCATAACCATGACATTAATGTGTAGAAATAAAGCATTCTAATTTTAGCTTTCAGCTGGCAAATGTATATGCGTCTTTGACATGCATACTTACATGAGCAGTCCTGCAGATCTAGGGCAGAAAAGTGCCATACGTACATGAACATAAATACAATCAGATTCTTGTTAGTTGGACTGAAAGAAGTGGTATTTATTCAAAGAGTTTATCATAAATGAAAATGAGTAAATTCATACCAGTCACTGAAAAAAGTTTCTAGAGATATGCAATTATTTCAATTTAATAAACTTGTCAATGTATTGAACTTTTACTTTCAAAAAGAAGCTTCATTTTAGCACCTGATTCAATTTAGTCCACATTCGGTACTGCATGATGTAGTACAACTCTGTAACCATCCACTGTACATCATTCAGCTATAGATATACTGGATTCATTTGTTCTTGTCATTTAGTCTTTCACACTAACAATATTTCTCAACCACTTTTGTAGACTGCTACCGAAACTACATTTTGGTGAATTAATTGCCTTTTTTTTCCTTCCTTTTCCTGTATTTCCTAAGTAAAGAGTTGCTGCTAATTGTTAAATAGTTTTTGGCAGATCATTGAGTTTTGCTTTGCAGTATACTGAAAAAAAACAATAACCGAGGGTCTTCTGAAGAAACTTAACACGCCTCCTCTCCTAAATGACTGAACTTTACCTATTGAGGAAAATAACAGAATACTTGTAAGACACTGTAGTAGTATTTATCGCACCACAGGGTGCTTTCCCTGATGAAGATCTCAGAAATAGCAATGGATGACCACGCTCCTACCACCTCAGAGCATACTTCTCTCTTTCACGGTGTCAGAAGTTCCTGCATGTGCTGGTTTTTAATAGCTGTCCCCAGCCTGCTCCTTTTTTTGGACCCCACAAATTGCCCTTTGGGGATATCTTTTCCACTGACTAGACACTGTGGCTTAAAGTGGAATACAGACTGTGTGGCCCCTGAAACTCAGTTTTCTCAGAGGGAACAGGAAGTAAAGGAATATGGCAAACCTTCAAGTTCAGAAGCTGAAACAGTTTAACACAGTGAATAAACCTTACAAAACTACAAATACAGCCTTTTACATAATGATGTGATGATGTAATGAGAAAGAAAACGGCTCCGTCATAAACACCACAGACTAGATAGCATTGGTTAATACTTTTTAATATTCAATTTAATATTTTAATATTCACATTAAGGACATGTAAAAAAAAGTGTTACTCATCCAACAGTAAAAATATCACTAGTATGTATTACCAGCAAGCCTATGCCAGGTCATTGTCATTTCAATAACGAAATGTTACCTCTCTTGCATCAAATGGCACTTTTAGATACACATACAATGTGATCACGTGTGACAAGTGTTCTGAACAAAATACAATCCTATAAAAATTCTTACCTATAACTTAAGCAAGATGTTGCTGTACAGCACCTCCACAAGGTGCATGCAGTATGCAGAACACATTTCAAGGTAAGTTCCTAGACGTCTCTAATTTATATACGGAGAGGCATAAATTTAGTCCATCTTTCTCTTTTTTCCTTTACCAGGGCCTTTGTTTTTCTTTTCATTTTCAGGGCTTGGTTCCCAGAGTGCATTTCTTACAAATCTAGAAGCAGCTCCTTTATCAAGTTTGGATGCCTTTTTCTTTTCTGCTATTTCTTTGACCCTGTTCATGTATGTTCTTACTCTCTCCTGGGGGAGAAGAAAAAAAGAAGAAGAATATTTCACACCATTGTCCCAAAATTCCTGTGAAAATCAATGAGTAGAAGCTCTCCACACTTTACAATTCTATAATATCTAGAAAAATACAATCATTTAAATACATGTACAAGGATTTTCTTTGCAAATGCCTTCTTGCAAACTTGAGGCTTCTCCTTTAGCAGATTTTCCATCACAGGTACCTACTATACTAATATCTGCATGACATTCACTGTCATAGGAACATGAACTCCTACAGAGATGAAGACTACATCTAATTGACAGTGAGAGAATTGTTCTTGCAAGCAAAGTTAGAAAACAAAGTACTGAACTCAATTTGGAATTTGGCCTACATAAAGACGGCAAAATAGTATTTAGATTTGACATACTTAGAGAAATGTCATTATATAAATTATACTGCCTGACTACTGTCTAATAAAAAAAAAAACAAAACAGCATGTCCAAGCAAAGCCACAAAGCATCTAACTCAAAATAAAAGATGTCACAAGCATTACATATGCACCTACACCGAACTCTTGTGGTTAAGATCCTGAAATGGTCAAGGGAGCTTATGAGCAAACCTATATAAGGAGCCTTATGAATTTCCAGCTGTATCAGAAGTTTCTTTTTATGACCATAAATAATAATAATGCCTATTTCCACTGCCATTCCATAAAGTGGATACTCCCTTGCTATCTTAGCCTCCCCAGAGTCATTTGGTGTCTAAGGATTTTTTGGACGAAGCATGACTTGGATTGACCCCACCTACGCATACCTTCCCAGCTTACAGTCTCATTTACGTACCTACTCTTCCTCATCTACTTCCGCAGCCAGTAAAGGAAATTGCATAACTGAACCTCTAACATGGGAATTATCCTCTGTTAAGTGCCTGCTTCTATTCATTGACTAGAGGGGACGCTTACGGTAGTTGTATAAAATACGTAAGTTTGGTTAATGTATTTCATGACTACATAGTACGGCCTTCAACTCTAGGTGTTTCTGTAATGCAAACAACAGTAGCATATGTATACATACACATATATATATATAGCGCTCTACCTGATACCTGAATTATAAATGTGCATTAGCAGAACATTTATGGATACTGCTAACTAAAAAAATGTTAATACTATGCAACTCACACATTTCTCACACAACCATTGACAGCTCCTTGAATCTGGAACAAGTTACATGACCTACATGACAGAACTGATTTTCAGTTCCTCAAATGACCATTATAAGCAACTGTTGTCAAAAAATTGGCCACTCTTTCTGTATCAAAACCATAGCTTTAATGAGGAGAACTTATAGGGTCTGAAATCATGATAAGCTGTAATATTTTTTTTGGTGACTGAGTAATGAGAACAGATGGCAAACCTACATGTATCAACCTGGGAAAAAGGAGCTGACAAATGTCAACGTGACAAAAGAAATGAACTCTGATAGCTTGAATGTGAGTTTATTAATATAGTTTTAATCTCTGCGTACTCCATGTATGTATACAGGGAGAGCAATTCTAAAAACAAAACAATCACCACAGAGCAGTCTTTTTTTTTTACTCCCTTTCCACATGAATGAGAACATCACAATGCTCTTGGAAGGAAGGAACATGCATTCATTCACCTTGATACTTGTAAAAGAAAAAAACAACTGGATAAGAATCTAGGCTGTGGTAATTCACTCATTCTTCAGACTTAAAACAACTGGTTAACTGGGAAAAAAATACCAGCATAAAATATCCACAGCAAAATAGATAGAATTTATTTTTTAGTATCACTAAATTAACACAATATTCAGACACTATGTAATACAGGAGGAACAAGAAACTGACTGAAAGCTCATGAAATACTAACTGATCAATTTTTTTAATATGATACAGTCTAGGCTACTGAAAACCTCACCTAATTAAAAATAGAAGTATTCTTGTTTTTCAGGATATCTTTCTGCATTTTTGAGTCCCATCTTCTGTTCCACTGCCTAGGCAAGGATTATATTTAACCGAAGCATTTTATGATTGCCCAGATTTAGTATTTTCATTTATACAGGAATTAAAATGGGGAGTTGTAAGTTTTGATTTCTATTTTTTCTTCAGGCTAAATGATCTGATTTTTTTAAGTCAGCAGAATTTTCAAGATAGCGGTCTTCTATACTGTAGTCATGCATCTAAATGGAATATAAAGACAAACCTAAGAGATTTATTGTAGGTTGTAAATATGTCACTAATGCAGAATTACTGGACAATACACATACAGCTGGTGCCAAAAAAGCTTTTAGCTTTGTTGCTGAACTGAATTCTTTACTGCTGAGAAAATGAATTAATGGAGGACTTGGAAAGAGGGGGGGAACTCTTTCCCGTCTTTGCTAGTAAATCAACCACACTACACTTTCAGAGTCATACAAAAGTAAGAAAAGACAGCCTCAGAGATTAACATGATTCCAAGTATTTATAAAAAAAATGCCGTACTGGAAGTTATAAATTATTATCAGACATGTAACATTTTTCCATTTAGCAGATACAAGTGAAAAGCTGCTCTGTTCAGAATCCAATTCTCAAGGAAAGGTGGAGAAAAGAAAAGATGACATCATTTATCTTCTTGTTCTAATTTCAGCAGACTCTACAATTTTGCTTTAAACAGTACCATTTGGAACTAAAAATATGACTTTCTTAATTTAGAGAGCGCAGCAGGGCACATGAACAGTTATATAACACTACGTAGCATATGCGTGCTATTATGGCAACATCAATTTTAACCATAGATATAATTTTTTTTTTACTTCTATAAGAATTAACTGTCCTGGGCAAGTACGATATTGCAGTGCTTGCAGTGTGAGAATCTTACCAGTTCTTGTTTCACTGGATGTTCCTTTGGATTGACTCCCTGGATAGTCAAGTATACTACAAGATAAAAAACATGAAGTTTTTAAATCTGAAGGCTGTCATGACTGAGTACCCCATAAATCAGTCACATAGGAAAACTAATTTCCACATAAACCCATTAGTAACAATTAGAGTTAATGGTGTAAATTATCTGACAAACTATTATCATCAATATTGCAGCTAAATTTAAAAAAAATCTAACATAGTTAATGTTGCTAGGAAAAAACAAACATCTTCATGCAGTTACAAAGTCAGCTTTTGTAAATTCCTATTTTTGGAGTTTCAACATCATTTACTCTACAAATGGCAATAATTTGGATCCTTGGGGTAATTACAGGTTTCTAATTATTTTGCTATGAAATATGATTATTTAATGTTTGCAGCTGTCTAGAAGGTGTTCAAATGGCATCATAAATACTTTTTTCCTCCTACCGCATACTTACCCCAGAACAATGAATTTAACGTGTACACTGAAACCAAATCCAGCTTTGCTTGCTCCAGAGGCTCTAACTAGAATGAAAAAAAAAACCAAACAACAAAACCAAACCCAACACATTTGCACATTTTATAATTATGAATGTATTCATAAAAGAAGTACACACTGAATGAGGTATTTTTGCACCACAGGTTCACTAAGACCACATTGTGCCTATTTCTGTGCCATCACAGAACCATTCTCTCCAAGTACTCCAGTAATTTTCCCTGTCTGATGCCACAGTCCCAGGTGGCCAAAAGCACAAATATCTGTTGGCACATAGCTCTTAGACTACTGTTCCCATAGTCAGAAATAAGTTCCTGTTTTTCCACAGAAACTTAACTCAAAATAGTTGTTACTATCAGTGGAAGGGAAAAAGAAGTCTTAAGATTGCTGAAGCCCAAATGTGAATATACTATGCTACAGTCAATGAACATTAAAACTACACATGGTAGACTGTGCTCAACGCATGCTGGAATACTTAGGGCTGTAAAGCAAAGGAAGAATAAAGGTAATGAGGGGGTTTTTTTCCTTGACTGTCAAAGTCAATTTATTATTTTAGTCCTATAGGATTTCCAGAACCTCTGATAACATCATTGTAAGGCTCACTACTTCTAACATGGATACTGTCAAAAGATCAGTGTTGTAACGACTGTTTTCTTCATGATTTATTTGTGTTAGAAATCCTCAGAGGATAAAGAAGTTCTCTCATGTGCTAGCTTTTTCTTGCCCTAGAGAAAGAAATTACATATTAGGCTTTAAATGTTAAAAGATAGAGAAGCTTGTATGAAGTCTTCGGTCTGTACCTTGCTCTGTCTTTATGCCCTGAGCAAAAAACACATTTTACAGACTTAGGCTTATAACACAGCTAAAGGAGACAGCTGTTTTTTAAGCACCAGCTTCTGCAAGTCTAGACTTCTAGAATCAGATCAATTCTCACTGCTGTCAATTCACCTTTATATCCTACTGCATATACAAAGTTCCATTAAGTTTGTTGTGAAAACGTCTCAGAAAAAGGTGTGAATAACCTCTCCATTATGAAAGAGCACTCAGCATGCACTTTAAGGAAGGTCAGGAATAAGCTAGGATGTCCTCTACTTAAATGACTCACTGGTAGAATCATCGCTTTTCGGCTTGTAAGAGCACGTATTTCACTGTTTAGTTTGTAAGATCGTCTGGGTATCTTAGAAAGGTAAGATTTTCAAATACTGGGTATCAAGCATAGAAAGTGTCATATTTATATGTGTCTGTGCAGTGGCCAGGCCTAACAGGCTCTTTTATTTCAGTTGGGATTCCCAGATATTCTTGTATTAGTAACAAAAAGGTTGTCAAAAGCAACATTACCTACCTTTTGGAGGTCACTCCTAGAAACCAACATCATTGCTTTCAGCATCTCTTCTACAGAACCAAGACATTGTTCAAATGTTGCAAGATAATCATGAATTTCAGTAGGGTATTCTTCTGGGTTGGTATAATCTGACGCCTCCATCTGGAAAGAGGAAACAAAACTAATAATCCTTTTCTTTAAGTCTCTACAGAGTCAAAAGACTATATTTTACAATACAAAACGTTATTATACATGCATTAAACATTGTAAGAAATGCCTACTTCTGAAGAGTTCCGGCAGATAATGTCAATAGTGACACAGTTAAAGGTCCTATAATTTCATGGGTATCGCCTAACTGCTGTGCAAAATGGCATGAAGGAGCATTACAAATGACATGACTGTATTATCTACTGTTGTAACAGTCCCAAACCAGTATTAAGCTTTTATGGTCTGTGATGGAAAGAAATTATTTGCTTGTTTAAAAGAAGCACGTTATAAATCACAGTATATAAAGAGCTATAGCAAGCAACAGGCAGGACACTAAACAAAGACAAAACCAACAGAGATATGGCTTCAGCCCGTCTTAGGAACAGACATTACTTCAGCTTTAAAACGGTTATGCAGCACCAGTTATGTCAAGGTCAGTTAAAATCTTCCAGTGCTAAATTTAGGAGTTGGTCCAAGAAACTCTTCCTGTGAACCTGCATCCAGTTTTCTTAATTCTCAATAGGGTATTATAATCTGCAATGTAACTCTACTGGTGACAAAGATGAGTTGATTTGGGGATTTCAGAATACTCTGGAAATCTTGTAGAGACAGCAACTGTGAGATAAGCAAAGAGGTGAAAAATCCCAAAGCACTCCTTTTTGATCCCAGCATTCATGGTAACATGTTATGGCTACTGCCAAGCCATCTGGCAGCTGGCTTACAACTGATACTTTTAATTCCTCTCAAATCATAAATCCCATATCATGAGGAGTCAATGTTGCTTATATATTATTTCCTACAACTCCTACTGATTGAGCAACAACTTTGTAAATGTTGTCAGAAAAGAGCATAATTTTCATGCCCATTGGTGAGCTACATTAGGACAGTGGCAGCACCTGGAACACTGCAGTCCTTCCTACTTAGCATCAGTGTAATCCCACTACCCAGACATTGACTACAGAGGGAATTGAATTAAGTTGGAGACCTTGCACTTCAGTTATGAACACCAAGCCACACGCTCAGTGCAAACACCAAGGAAAGACCAAACAACTGTTGCATCACTGGAGTTTCTTCTAGATAACAACTTGATCATTCCCTTTTCCTGGCAAGAGCATGGTATGTGTGAAAGAGGTTTCTTTTTATTTATATTGTCTCCTAGAGGTCAAACAGGGGGAATACTGGGAGGAAAACCAATGCGAAGCTACTTAAGCTTTTCTGCAACTCCAGTTTTAATCACACCGGCATGATTCCAGAAATAGAATCATAGAATAGAATCATAGAATCATTAGGGTTGGAAAGGACCTTAAGATCATCTAGTTCCAACGCCCCTGCCATGGGCAGGGACACCTCACACTAAACCATGCCACCCAAGGCTCTGTCCAACCTGGCCTTGAACACTGCCAGGGATGGAGCATTCACAACTTCCCTAGGCAACCCACTCCAGTACCTCACCACCCTCACAGTAAAGAACTTCTTCCTTATATCCAATCTAAACTTCCCCTGTTTAAGTTTTAACCCCTTACCCCTTGTCCTGTCACTACAGTCCCTAATGAAGAGTTCCTCCCCAGCATCCCTATAGGCCCCTTTCAGATACTGGAAGGCTGCTATGACGTCTCCACGCAGCCTTCTCTTCTCCAGGCTGATCAGCCCAAACTTCCTCAGCCTGTCTTCATACGGGAGGTGCTCCAGTCCCCTGATCATCCTTGTGGCCTCCTCTGGACTTGTTCCAACAGTTCCATGTCCTTTTTATGTTGAGGACACCAGAACTGCACACAATACTCCAAGTGAGGTCTCATGAGAGCAGAGTAGAGGGGCAGGATCACCTCCTTCGACCTGCTGGTCATGCTCCTTTTGATGCAAATAGGATCAGCCAGTTAACAAGTCCAATTTCACTGTTGCTGTTTGCATAGTTAAAAATTATAATCCCACTCAGCTGCTTGACTTTTCATCCTGGTCAGAGGTGTTTTTCAGATCAAGTACAGAATGACAATATTAACCATGACATTTTGAAGGTCCCTTCACTACCCCAGCATGGAACTCACACATGTAAATACTGCTTAAGTCAGCCGGAGAGGACCCAAGCAGGAAAGCTGAGCTGGACCTACAAAATGCTACCCACAAAAAGGCAAAAAGCCAATACAATTATTTCTGTCATTTACAATAGTATTGTTTGTGTTTCATTCTGTCCTAACCAGGACATAATCAACCCTTCTTAGGTTGATTAAAGTGTGGAAACAATGTTGTTAAATTTTAGTCATATAACACAGCATAAAAAAATAATTCAAGGCTACAGAAGAAACTAGATTTTCCCTGGTGTTAATAAAGTTAAGCTTGGTTAGAAGGTGTCTGTCAATACACATTTACTATACTCGCACATACAGGGAGAGAAGTGCAATCCAATCCAGTCTTCTACAGAGTTTCCTATCACTGCAATACTTAACCTACTATGGTCTTAATTTGATGGACAGGCATGAACATAGTGATAAATTCCAGCTTTTCTCTCTCCCTTTATCAGAGAATCAACACCAGCAACTGCAGCAGGAATAGAAAAAACAACAACAAAAACCTGTAGCAGCAATGTGTTATCAATCAAAACTAACTCAAGCTATTTTACAGCAGTTGCAAGGATAAACAGTCACTAGTGCATGTATGATATTCTTTCCAGTATCCCAAGCTAGACCTAAAGAATGAGGCAGAGAAAGAATAGGAAGACAGAACAATAACAGATACAGTCCAAAATATATTTTGCTATGATTGTTGTCTCATGAACAAGAAAGAATTAAGTTTGCCCTTGTATCATGAAGTATTTACTTGACACTGTCAATTGGCAAGGAAAGGGAAAAAAAAAAACCCTTCAATGGAACATCAGCCTTCAATGGAACAAAGCTGCACAGCAGCCTGTGTACAGGGTCCTTCAATGATAAGTCAGCTCCTTCTGCCCAGGGAGGGGGAAGAATTTGTTGAACTTGTGTTTTCATTTCAACAGGAACTAGCAAGTTCCTACTCCTGCTGCGTAGGGACCTCTCTCTTTTCATTAGACTGTTGTTTCAGCATTACTAATCTCCAAGCAGGATATGTTACAGTGTTGGCACATGCCAACAATAAGGCAGCAGTCAACAGCCTAAAATAGTTTTGATAACATTAAATCAGCAAGAGCAAACTTACACTACATTAGGAAACGTGTACACCGGAAACTCCACAAAACTGTGTCTGCCAAAATCAACACATAAGACTGCACAGTCCACCTGCAGAATGACAAAGCCAAGGATGGGAGGAACTAAGACCACATCAGTGATTCTCTAAACATACCTAAAGGCTATACTGCCCTCAATAGTTCTGTCTCAGTTATTAAATCACAAACAAGTTTTTCCTCAAAGTTTTGCAAGTGTTCATATATTTTGAACAAGCAGAAATATAATTCCGTTCCTGAAGAGATTTCTCTGATGAATTTGCTTTCAACCAATTTTGTTTGGCACAGAGACCCCACTTAAAAAAGTAAAGACAGTACAAACATTCAGAAGAATATTCAGAGAAGTTACAAAAATACTTGCTGGGTAAGCATGTGAATAATGGGGAAAGCTAAAGGAAATGAGGATAAGACAGCATTTTCATTATCAAGTAATAACACAATGCAGAACACATTTGTGGTGGTGTGCACAATGATAATACTTTACAAGATCTATAATTTTGAGACTGCAAAGTTCACAACCCATAAACATAAAACAGAAGAGAAAAGGCCCACTTTGATTAAGGACACCAAGGCAAACAAATAGCAATGAAAAATGTGGTGTGACTTCATAACATCAATCTACCAGAAACAATTATCCCTTTTAATCCCAACTGCAAAAACTGCCATGTAGTTTTTGGGAAAACAGCATAAAAGAGAAGTATCTCTGATGAAGAAAAGGACTTCAAATCACAAATGTAAACAATTTTCATGGGAAAATTTATTCATCTTATTTAAGTCTGATCAAAAACTGTCTTATGAATTTCTACATCTGAACATCCCGAAATTTCTGAATAAATACTTGTTCTTTCAGAAACATAACTACATTTATGTAAACTTCTGCACAGAAAGCAAGGAACACCTTGTTTTCCCTCCAGTCAACATAGTATAAACTACAGCAAGTAACACACTCAACCTGCAGAGAGGGGAGGTAAATATCAGACATTACAAAACACAGAAAATACACAAATAGAAAAAGAGAAAGCAAGAGAAAATACATTATCTTCTGCAGACTGTAGAAAGTCTAAACAAGTGACAAATCAGAAGCAATTTGCCATAGTGCTAATCTGGCTTTTGATCTAAGATCAAAGTGAGTTAAATGCTATATAGAGGACGTTTAAATAAAAACAAACAAAATGCAGATGATTATGCACAATACAACTTGCAAAATCCTCCATCTTCACATTTATCTTTCAGGAGAATGAAGAGAAGAACTCCGCAGACTCCTCTCACACCCATGACTGGCATACGAAGGTAAGAAAAGGAAAAAGGGAAACTGCAGACAATTTGCAGGTGGCTTTTATGAATAATTTTTTAATACATCTGGTGTTCTAACACAAGCCTTAGAAAGTAATTGCCAGACAGCTTAAAAAGCAAAACCAAACCTCCTTTCCTGCCCACCCCCACAGCAAAACTATGTCTGTCATACTGAAAGATATAAACTCTAATTAGACCCTGGGTACCTCTGTGAGAGATTTTGCTGAAGATGCATGGTGAAAGTAATGGAAGCCACATGCATATATCAACAAGGCAACAGGAAAGCCCAAAAGACATCATTTAAAAGTGCTCAGTGTTAATATTATACACATGGCTTTCAACTGGAATTAAAACTGCAAGTTCAGGATAAATACAGCGTATTCTAAATATTTTGTACATGCAAACAGGAGACAAAGTAATTTCATTCTGCTTAATATTGCAACTTTCTTCACACCTCATGTTAATTCTTACCTACTTCTTAAGCAGTAGAAGTCTTTGTCTTTATACTGAGCTCAGATTTTTTTCATATAATTCATCTAACAAAACTCAGATTAGACTTTCCTTCTTTTCATGCATATTTTACAGATTATACACAGAAAACCAAAACAAACCCAAACCCTTTTGGTTGGAGCATATAAAAACGCTCTCAAATTCAAAACAAATGCACTAACAACATCAGTTTGACAAACCATCTCTGTCAGCTCCTGAAAATTGACGCTGTCCTTCTCCTGAGCTCTGACTCACAACCTGTAGTTAATGTAGCTGATGTGTACAGCAGAGATCTCCCCTCTGCTCTAACACTGTAGTTCACTGCTGTGGCTAGAGGACAACAGAGCAACAGGCATCTTAAAGCTAGCAGCATTCGTGACTAAATTATTTGATGACAGACCTCTTTTGGGCAGAGAAATCCACTTTATTCCACATTTACAAAGGCTTAAATATAACAGGCTCTAGTCTGTGACAGACACTCATCAGCATTATTGCTGCTTAATAAATAATTAGCTGCCCACTAGTCATCACTGCATCCACAGATCTGTTTTGCTACTAATGCTTCTCAAGTCAGCTTGGGGCAACTGGAGAGCAAAGCTACTACAATTAGTTAGAGCATGCTTGCAACTCACAATTTTGTCTGCAAGAAAGATTTCCATAGCAAAAGTAATTAAGCCTACCATGAAATACCAAGTATGCACCAACAGGCTTATCTTGATCCCCTTAAAAATACTGCAACTTAAGCCATGGTAGTTACCCAAATTTGCACTGTATTATAAATGGGCAACAGCTGAGCAATCATTTTTAACCCAGTTTTCAAAGCTCTGCTTGTCAGCATCTCAGCATGCACAGCTCATAGACATCAGGCTCCTGCTGATGCCACTGAGATGTCTTTTGAGCCTCAAAGGATTAGCAAAGTTATTCTGATAAAAGGAGAGGGCCTTAGTGACATGGTTTAGTGGTGGACTTGGGAAGTCCTGGGGTAAGGTCAGACTTGGTGATCCTTAAAGGTCTTTTCCAACCTAGCTGATTCTACGATTCTAAGATTAAAATTTAAAGGGAGGGAATAATATTTTTCAGGCTTATTTACACTTCAGCCCATGGTGGATATCATGTGAGAAAACAGGTATCTCAGCTTGGCTTAAACCACCCGGATTCACTACAGACCCATCTATATCCACACAAACCAGCTTTGATGGAAACCTTCAACTCAGCCTGCATGATTCGCAAAACGTTTTTATTCTCTGTATTCAGCTGTCCTAGATTACACATCTTTGATGACAGTCACTTCCTCTTCTGGACAAATCCAGTATCCCCTGGCTCTTGTTCAGCTCCAACCTGTGAGTACACCTATTAGTGATTACAATGATAAAACCAGCTTTCTTCAGGTATGTCCAGAACACTTCTTAGTGAGACATCTTAATGAAAGCTCTCACATTCAGACTATGCCACCACACCTTAGTTCAAGACTTGGGCTTTAAAGTGATTTTATATTTGTATGTCTAAACTGGTCTTTAAAACATACACTTTTGTTTGCACTGAATCTCACCAGAACTTGTACAGCAAAATACTCTCTCCTTGAACAAAACAGTTCACACACAGTGGTTTTTTGTTCATGACAGCAACTAATACTGAATACTTCTGTCCTACCAAATTTGCAGGGAACACGAAATAATCCACCTCCAGTCTATAGCTCCTGTGTGCTCTAAATCATGGAGTTCAGTACCTCTTCTAAAATCTGCTGCTGCTCTCCACTCGTATCAGCACTATGAATATCCAGAATTAAAACCAAGGAGTTTTTTTCATCCTTTTAAACTGCTAACCTCCTTTGTACCTCATGCAACAGTACCTTTCTCTACTTTTAGCAACCCCAGTCTATATTTGACTGTGCTAACAAGACTCTGTTCAGCTATGAGAAGTGTATTTATCCTTTTGTTGTTGTTGTTGTTGAACAGTAACTGTGGGATGTTGTAAGCACCAATCTTACTGATGCAGGAGAAAAACGGGGAAAGTCTCTCCTACCTATCCCCTAAAGAGAATTTAACAGCTGATAACCTGACAAAAAGGAGACCAACTACTACCCACGAACAAAAAGGATGTGCAAAATCACAGACGTGAGGGAGTACTAGGGAAAACTATTTGGGGACACGTCATTTTCACAGGGATTGAAAGAGATGAAATAAAACATTGTGGGATGGAGAACAACAGCGCACCCTGGCCTGGCACAGGAAGAGAGGTATGGCAGTAACCACAGCCTGGCACAGAAGGGAGAACAAAGCACCAGGATAATAGAGGCAGCTGGGAAAAGGAGCCTGAGCAATTTCCCAGCACAGAAAAATGGAGTTTATGCAGAACAGCAGGCGTAGGGAGCACTGCCTGTGGGAAGAGGTAACTAAACATGAGGTGTATCCTGAGGCCCAGCAGAATGCTTTATAGCAAGCCCGCACGAGCAACAGAGTAAAGCAAATAAAGTGAAGAAAGACAGCTCAAACAAAGGTAATAAAGTCTGCAGTCTCAAAGCCTTCACAGTCTGTTATCATATCATCTATAAAGTTAACAAAATCAAGCTTCACTGTATTACCACTCGGTCACCTCTGTTTCTTCTTTCTATGCTGCCTTTTCCAGCTTAGTTCTGTAACACCTAGATGGAGGAGCTCCCAGTGCACTGTTTATTTAAAGACACTGATGTTCTTCTCGGCTCACCACTGCATGTACATCCTACCATTGTCTACTGCTGTCATTACAAACAAATAATCTTTACTAAATGCACGCAAACCAATTACACCAATGAAGAATTCATTTTAAAAATCTTAAACCACTTCAAAAAGAAACATGCTCAGCAAAAAGGTTTGTGTGACTCCTGCACCCCATTTCCGATAGGAAGCCTAAGAATTCTCATAATCTCTTCCAAGTTTCTCACATTCTGGTGTATGGCCTTGTGTTAAGTGCTTTCTGATTTCTTTAGCAAGGGCCATACTGCGCCAGGATTAGCAATATCCAAGTATTTTAGATTGGCAGTGTTCTTTTATATTTTTAAAGCCAAGAAATGTGCCACGCACCCCTCAATTTTATTTAACAATCAAGTCTTTCAATTATTGCTTAAAAAAATGAAGTCTATAGATTAGCATAATCTAAAGTTTAATTTGCAAGTGAAAGTCCCTTTTAAATTGCTAGCAGCAACTGAGCTTGCAGTCAGCTGTGACCAAAGCATAAGCAAGGGGACATCTTTGCCTTTGCAGCAATATAAGAGAACCGTAATGAGAGCTACCTTTTCACAAAACACTTGAGCTTAATAACCTAAACCATCACCTGCCTTTCAGTTAAGGGGAAATAACACTAACCATTTTAACTACAGCCTATATATACAACCTGTATCTTGTCTTTGAAAAGCACTCTTCTTACAATTACTAAGCTCTTGGTGTGCTCAAGATGCAACACTGTTTTAATGAGCTTTAATAGGAACCTAACCACTTACTGCCTATGGTACAGCCTTCCTACCTACAACCATCCTCAAACCATGACCCCAGCTGCAAAGCCTTTATCTCATTTTTACAGGTAACTAAATAAGTGATGCATTAAATTGATTTTATGCTCGCTAGCAAAATTAGTACAGCACACAACTTGACCCTCAGTTCTGGGAAGGCATGGAGGGTCATCCACGTGTTTGGGGCAGTGACAACAGAACAACTTGGGCTGTGTCACATTGACTTAGGTCTCCCCTGGAAGCCTGACTCGGCTCTCAGGTCACACATGGGTTCCTTGATCCCATGCTTTGAAGGTGAAATAGGTATGTGTGCAAACCGAAGCCTTCTCAACACTTTATAACCAAAACACTCCTGTGAAAGATGAGGCATCTCACCGACCCTTTAGGGCCACGATATAGTGGATTTGAGCACTTGTCCCAACTCCCCGAACGCATTCGGTTGCCGCGGTCCGACACGAACCGTGTTCCCTACCCTCACTTCCGCGGCTCTCAACAGACTGTAACCTCAAGAGCGGGGATAAGCCCCCCGGGAACAGCCACCAGAGGCCCTGCCTCCCGACAGCGCACTCCCCGCTCTCCAAACGCCTCTGAACCCCCCCTCGAGCCACACTACGGACCGCGAACAGCCCCTACCCCAACGCAGGCCTTCACCCCCTGCGCCGCCATTACCCCGAGCCGTACCACCCGGCGGTGGGGGCAGGTAAAAGAGCCGCTCTTACCTCCGGGCGCGCGGAGAGCGACGAGTAGGCGGGGCTTCCTGCGGCGCACAGCGGTGACGCCACTGCCGGCGCCGTGGGGCGGCCCCGGGAAGCGGAGGGACGGGTGGGTGTTACGCGGGAGTGCGGGGAGCGCCGGTGTGGTGCTGGGCGCGATGATGAGAGTGGTTGTTGTGCGTAAGAGCGAGAACCGGGCCCGCTGTTTTAAGGCAGAAAACGTGCTTTTCGGCTCGCAGCACGTTTAAGTGGAGGGGGTAAACAGCCGGCATGCCCCAGCTGTTCCCAAATGTTTCCAGGTACTTCCTGGGAAAAGGAAGGCGCAACATGGTTTTAGAGGTGGTCCCTTAAGGCTGGAGACCCCTTGTTTACAGGGAGGCATCTCAGCGGTTTCTGACAGGTTGCCTGTCTTCACCTAGTCCTCAAATGAGGGTTGGCTTCTAACAGCATTATTGGTTGTGATTTCTACCCTGTTTCTTCTCAAGATTTCAGCAAATAAATCTGGGTTCAAAATGCAGTGGGTTAGTAGTTCTGCACTGCAGGAGCTTGCCGAGTGGAAGCCTGCACAAACACAGCTGTGGCTCCCAAAGATAAGATCCACGTTTTACAGATTTACATTCTGATAAAGAGTAAAACAGAAGCCAGCATCCACATCAAAAGTATTGGTATTACTAGCCAAAGACCTCTTTCGCCTCCTTTCTGTTCAGAGCTCCAGCTGAACATCATTGTAAATCAAGCCTGCAGCCTCTCTCCTTCAAGGCAGATCGAGATAGGATCACGGGAACTTTTCAGTGTGGTTAAAGAGGGCCTGTTCTCAGCTACAGGTTATGCAGGAGTGCATGCGGCTGATTAGACTGTGGCTGGTTGTTGCCTGGGGGGAATGTGCAGAGCTGGCTTACTCAGCATCAGGGTTTCTAGAGGAAAACAGGTCCAGTCTGAGGAAGGACAAGGTCAAGAGTGGTGAAGGGGGAAGAATATACTCATAGGGAGAGCAGGACTACAAGTGTGGGGTCTTAATGTAGCTTGAGTGTACCTCCCTGTGCAATTCAAAATAGTTGCAAAAGTGAGCTTCCTTTTAATAACTTGGTTTACATCTGAGTGCTATACTATGTCTCTTCTAATTAAATCAGTATGAGCTGCAAATGAGAGTCGCCCTACTCCCGGTTGGAAGTATATCTAAAGATCTTCAGATGGAGTCGTTACTTGTTTACATCTTGTCGTCTCCTTTTCCTCCAGGAGATGCAGAGATTTAGGGTTTCAGTTTCAACCAAAAATGGCTGCAAAAATAATACAGATACTTGTTTCTAACAGAGTGTTTATGAAAGCAGCAAACACGGGGATTCTGTAAGAGTCTTTCAGCTGTCTGTGGGATGCACGTATGCATAGTAGAACCACTTGGGTAGGGAGTGGTATGCTTACTGTTAATATTTCATTGTAATAATAAAATGTTTCTCTGAATTTTCATAACCATTTCTTACTTTCAAAAACCATAGTCTTAATGATTTTTTCTTGTTCATTTTTACTAGAACAACTACTGTAGGTTAAAGGGAATTTAGGAGAGATTGTATTTTCAAAAAATAAATGCAACAAATGAAGGGAAACAGAGAAATAGCAAGACCTGCCCTCCTAAAGAAAGCACCACTTTGCACTTTCAGTGTGCCAAGTGTTTATTAAGGACCTCAGAACACTTGACATATGTTTAGTTCATTCTTACCTCGGTATTCACATGTCACAGGTTGGGAAATACAGAGAGGGAAGTTGATTAACAGACTAATTGATTTACCAAATGTTCGGTAGAAGTTTCTGCCAGTCTTATTTCCTAAACCAAATATTTTGTTTCAGTTACAAGATCAAAGGAAAATGTGACACATGTTGATCAACGTTCAGAATCAGCCAACTGTTTGTAGAAGATTGTAACCACGTAGAACATTAATGCAGTACAGGTTGTACTTAGAGAATTTCATGATAGTACAATGTGGCTCTCTGTCTCCTTCTAGTGGTTTACGTTTGTTATAGATAGGCTTCTGGGTGCAAAGTAGAACAGATTTATACTGTTCAGTTAACTGGAGTTCCTATACTGAGAGCTGTAAGCCTTGGAATTTCTTGAAGCTTTCCTTTTCTGCTTAAAATGGCTGTGTTGGTTGTTTGGTTTTCAAGAGCAAAGAGTGAGGAGTTAAGGATTTACATTTATCCCAGCCAAAACCTGATTGAGATACGGTTCATGTAATTCAATTGTTTTGTGTTGGTGCCACTCTAAAAATGTATTATGATTTTATGTACAGATATCTATAAAAAAATCTATCCAAGAAAAGCTCTATTGCCATCTGGCATTTAATGGAAGCTGTTTCATTTGAGAGGCCTATGAATGATTATTGATTTTTCTCTGTCATTCCCAAAACAACAGAAAACGATCCTGAGTATTTTCTCCAAAGTAGTCGAAGTGACAGGCATCTTTAATGTAATTACTCCTTTGTTATTATGTATCTTATTCATTGTACATACTATATATTGACTCCTGCAGAGTCAGTATTCTTTGTAGAGTAGATGTGGAGGCCAAATCCTGTAGTCTGGACCTCAATGGAATCACTATGCCCTACAGCCTGGGTCATGCAAAGCACCACAGCCTGACTTACAGATGAGCTGTGGCAACTCCAACTCCCAGAAACAATGCCCCTGAAAAAGCTTTTGAAGATACTCACATAGAAGATAAAACAAATAGCCTAAGTTCTTCTGCTGTGAATCTGCTATGAATCAAACAAGGATGCTAGAACCTACTTGTAACAGAAGGGTTAATAAATCATCGGCAGAATAAAAATACAGACGCTAAAATCAGACCAAAAGCAAAAGGTGGTTGTAATAGGCATCTATAGTCATCCTAAGGGAGAAAATGAGGCAGTAGAATTGCTTTGTCTGCAAGTCCGGCTTCTTCTGACACTAATTACTCTTTTTGGCCTTTTAATGTGAGCTTTAATGGGAGCAGCAGAGCTACTTCATTAAATAATTCAGCCTTTCTAAGTAGACACTTTTATCAGGAGTCCACCATAAGCCCTTTCTGGCAATTACTGGAAAGCCAGTACATCCAAGCACAGAGAACCTGCCCTTTTATCCTGTGAGTCTGTGTCTTAAACCTCTAGAGATTCAGCAAGCATACTGAAAATGCTAAACCAAAGCAGACTTAAATGAGATCAAGTCAGTCAAAGTACAGCTACACTGTGATGAAACTAAACTGAGGAATTTTGCGTTACCTCTGTCTGTAGCTTGCATTTAAAAATGTATTCGTCTAAACTTGTGCAACATCACATTTGAAACTATTTCAGGAGTGAGTTAGTCTGCACCGGTGTTACCTGAGCTGCAGATCACTTCACAACAGTTCCTGACCAGGCATATTTAAAGTCAAGTTGTGGCCAAAATCATTAAAAAGCAGAGTGTGAGACAGTACCTTTTAAAATCCCAGGTTGGAGTGAGCAGACCAGTTTGGGAGACATATGTAGTACACTTTTTTTCTGAAGGATCTCAGCCGCATGGGGCATTTCTGAGGTAGGCATTTTGTGATTGAGGCCTGTTTCTTTGCAATGTAATGTAATAAATTTCGCTCTGTGTGGGCAGACCAGGAAGTTACCAGAAGAGGGTGTAGCAGGAGTAAGCTGAAGCATGAATATCCATCTGTTGGCCAGTACCTGCTTGCCTACGTGCACTTGCCACTCAGTGGAAGAGGGGTGAGTATCTGATGTTTCCTTTGGTATGTCAGAAGACAGACATTCACAAAAGGACAGTTACAGGCAGCTTCGTGGCTCAATGGCATATTCATTGTAAGTTATGCCTCTGCCTGTATTCTACAGAGACCAGATATATGCAGGGAGCAGGGAGGCAGGTCAGGAATAGACATTTTACAGTGATTTATTACAAGGCAGATGGTGAGTCCAGAATGAGAGCCCAAGATATCTGGCTGCCAGGTTTGTGTCGTGCCACTAGATAGGGTAAGAAGGGGAATAGAGTCTTGAGGCTAACTCACAGGAATGTCTCACATCTTCAGGAACTTAAAAGCCTATAGCAGTGACACTTAGGACACTGGAAAAGAAGAGTAACCTCCAGAATTTTCCATCTTGTGATACAGTTTGCTGGATTTGGGGACAGCGTATGTGGCAGCGTAAGCCCAAGTGAACTTAGACTCACCTCTCAGTTAAAGTGCTCTGGAAATCTCTTTTTTTTTCTGCACTCAAATTAAATTAGAGGGCTTTAAACCTACTAAACACAGACTCTTTGCCCTTTTGAAAATATAACATTTCTAATCAAAATACAGATGTGAAAGTACATGGAAAGAAGGAAACTGAGTTTGATGTAGCTTTGTTTTAGGGAGGAAAAATAATATAATTCAATAAGACTAGCTTAAACCCTCTGATTAAAGCTTTTTTGACATAACAGATAGGGAGGGTGAGATCTACACTGAGATAAAGATAGTTAGTACAGATCAAAAGAGCTTGTGTTCATGCCAACTAGATTAAATGACAGGATGTGGTGAAGTCCTGGCCACCATATCTGGTTACTTTACATACAAAGCTTTATTTGCTGAATGTAGATATATCTATTAGGTTATATGCATTTATATATGGAAACTGTAGAAATAAATTGAAAGCAATCTACCATGTGTAGAGTATTTGTTCTGATGCTGTTCTAAGATTGCATTTCTTCCAATTAGTGTGGAAAGCTGTAATTTTTTATAGCTGTCTCTCTCCCTAAGATTGTTGAAGTAAATTGTATTAGAAGCTGAGGTTTATTTCTAAATGCCACCATTCTTACTTGTTAGCTTCTGTGCATGAATTCAATAGAACCATATATTTCATATTCCAACTTAATTTTAGTGGAAAGCCTAGGACAACTTTAGGAGTAAATTAAACTTAGGACCCAAATTGCAGTTGTCATCTTAAAGGGTTTTTTTACATTTATTTATCTTGACATAGCCCCTGAAGAGGCAGGCTATGAAGCTGGAAAGCTCTTTGGTCTAACCCAGTATGGCTGCTTTTATGTTTCTCATACACTCTGCAACAGCAGGCTGTGGGAGGAAGGGAATGTGAATGTCAGAAAGGGAAAA